ATACGGTATTTAATATTACTAAATATTACCAGGTGAAGAAAAAGGACAAAACATAACACTACTGTTTTTTTGCAATAGCCACACATTGGCTGCAACAACATATTGGAGTCAGCATCTGGAACACGGTCAGAAGTTTGAATTAAAACATCACTCAGAATAGCTTTTCAGCTAACGAACAAAAAGCCTGGCTCTATATAAGCAGCAGGATAGCAAGAATAATCCCATTATAATGAGAAAGCAGTATAAAAAATGACTTCTACTGGAATGTTACAGCCTAACATTGAAATTTACTGTGCCAGCAAATTGTTCTGAAAGATGTGGAATAATGGCATTTCAGCATGATATTACAACACAAGTGTTAAGGAATGGGGAATAATTTATGCAAACTAGAAAGCATGTTACTGAAGTGTAGTTTTTTGTTGTTTGAAATGGACAAGGGCGGCTACAGTTTTGGCACCTATTTCTGCATAAAGACTACAACTCCATCATCCTTGAATACTGGTCACGCCGGCTGGGCTGATGAGAGTGGAATTCAGCAACATCTGGAGGCACCATGTTGGTTATCCCTGCTTGAAATACTGGTGATGTCCCAGCAATACAGAAGCAGGGAAGAAGAAATGTAATGTCTTGAAAATGTGAACTCACTGAAGGAAAAGACAAGCAATGGAAAAGAGGGAGCAGCGAAAGGGAACACATCAAAATCATGAGCAGAAAAAGGAATATGAACAACAGAAGGTAGAACAGGTGTTAAAGAGGATGGAGATGAGAAATCGGAAGATACAAAATAAGCTTATTTCTATTATCCAGACGAGTGCTAATTTTAAGTCTTAGTAAGGGAGAGAGGGAGGAGGGAGATGAAGGCTGCGATCAAGATGGCAGTGAAAAAGTTATAAGGTTCACACACTTTTGGAGAAGGATTGTAACAGAACCAAAAGACAAAAGAAGGAAGAATGTGCAAGGTAATGAACACAGAGGTAGCAGTTTAGCATTACTTGGCTCTAGTGACAAATTAGCTGTCAATCACCATCTAGAATGATAAGTCATTTCAAGGCTGTGCAAACTTCCCCTGATTTTATAAAAGTTCCCAGATTCCCTTATGTATATCTATATTTACACTGGAATAACTGACACAGAGATGAGTCAACCACAGCTACGTATTTGATGTTAAACTTTTTCAAAACATTGCAATTGCCAATATGGTCTGCACTGCATGTTATGTCTTCTCCTTCTTGTTTGTATGTTTGTGTAACAGAAAAGTAATTAAAAAAACATGAAGTTTCTTGCTGAAGTCTGGAATAAAAATGAAAGGCCACACTCTGTGCCAAGAAATGTAAACAACATTGAACAAGAAAGTAGTCTGAGGCTATCTAGCTAAGAAATATACAACTCATTTCTTTCCCTTGTACCAAGAAGGGCTTTTTTTAAAATCTGCATTTTTAAAAGTATAAATTTAGAAAATAAGTTTGTCAAACCCCACTAAGTTGATATACACACTATTATACATCTATGAGAAATTGGGTTTTGACCAAATCAAAATTAAAAGCAATCACCATGGAAGCAAAGCATCCCCTCTGGCAGCATTATGATTTGGTAATTTCATTACTGGCTTATAGGCCGATAATTAAAATTGGTATGCTTCCTTTGCATTCTTAGAAACCGGAAAATGAAGACGTTATAAACCAGCATCCTAAGAGGTGCAATTTATGCCAAAGAGGAAAATCAATCACATGCATTTACAGAACATTAGAATTTGATAGTAATTTCAATATGATAGCAAAGTGACCCATAAAGAATTATAATCATGTAATCAAAATGCACTGAATCAAATGTTACTGTTAGTATTCATGGCATCCATAGGAAGCTACTGTTGTAGTAGTTAAAATGACATCAAGATAGCTTGAGTCAGGTGAAACACACAGGTTCTTTGGTAGGAGAAAAATAGGAGTAAGAAAGGTGTAAGTTTCACCTAAGGATGGAGACAGATCTGAGTAACAGCTGAATATTATATTCTCTAATATGGATGGATGTTCCTTCTTCCCAACATCTGCAAGTGCAACCTGAACCCTGCCTTATACCTAACAGAGCCTGCTGCCTCCTCCCATCGTCCATTTTAAGACTATTTTCAGATGCAGACTCCATCAACAGCCAACTTTTTCCTCCCTTGTCTCAATCTGTTTACCATCTATCCCAATGAAAAATTCTGGAGAACTTGAAAGTTTACATTATATTGTCTGCCTAATAAACACATTGCCCTAACACAGATTTTGACATCTGTCTCGGGAGTCAACACAGCTACCTTGACTTTCTCCACATGAATGGGGTAATATGACAAGACTAGTAGGTCCATATCAATCCACCCACACTTGTTTGAGGATGAGCTTGTACACAAATGGTATTCTCTGTAGCGGACCAATGTAGCTTACAACACTTGCAGACCCACTAACGTGACATTTAGAATACTAGCCTTCTAAGTGGCCGGTCAATTACTTTCAGACTGTTCCATCTAAGCATTCGTTTCAAAGCATGGAGTATTACATGACTTGAACAAAGCACAAGAGGATAAATGTTTTGAGTCCTACACATTAGCTGATGAGATCTAACACATGATTTTAGAAGATGTTATAGCCACATGGCATTCCTGAATTCACTTCCAGTAGAGCTTGAAGAAATCTACTGCCTAAGCCAATACTAGGTAAAGGTAAAGGGGCCCCTGACCATTAGGTCCAGTCGTGACCGACTCTGGGGTTGCGGCGCTCATCTCGCTTTATTGGCCGAGGGAGTCAGCGTACAGCTTCCGGGTCATGTGGCCAGCATGACTAAGCCGCTTCTGGCGAACCAGAGCAGCGCATGGAAACACCGTTTACCTTCCCGCCGGAGCGGTACCTATTTATCTACTTGCACTTGACGTGCTTTCGAACTGCTAGGTTGGCAGGAGCAGGGACCAAGCAACAGGAGTTCACCCCGTCATGGGGATTCGAACCGCCGACCTTCTGATCGGCAAGCCCTAGGCTCTGTGGTTTAACCCACAGCGCCACCCGTGTCCAAGCCAATACTAGTTTGTATTAAATAAACTTTCAGTTTTCTAAATTCCCCCAAGTCATCTGAAATCACATGGTCCACTGCTCAAAAGACTGTACAATTGTGCATAACTGTTAAAGAGTTCACTTAAATTCATTTCTGTTACATTGGACTACTTGGAAGTCTAATAAATCACTCCTCCTAACAACTAATTGAGGTTGAGAGAGCTGCCGGCACTGTGGCCCAAATCAGGCAACTAAAAACAAAAGGGAAATATCAGCATGCTTGGGAAGAACCTTAAGGCTTGCACAAACACAACACACACATTTTTAGGGGGGGTGATTGGGTGTGGGGGTGGGAGGGGAGAGAGAAGAACGAAACATCAACCCTTACACAATCCATTAATCATGTGATTAATCAGGGTGAGAAAAGAGTGGGATGTCCTGATTGGAGGAAATACCTGGTTGGAACCCTGAACAGGAAACTCCATTAGGAAGGAGGATATACGGCAATGTTTTAGTGAGGTTCTCACTTTTTTATCACAATTATGGTTTAGCTGAAACTCAATCTTACATTCATATAGGCTAGGTCACCTGGCTTGCACAAACTACGTTGTGCAGAAGCCAATAACAACTACTTCACCAGAACAAAAGCCTGTCAATCTCATTCTCATCACATAAATGCATTTCAAAAAGGGACCAGATTTTCATTTTAGCTGAACCATTCTGAGGTTTTGGCCTTTTTAAAGTTAAGACCTGTTTATATTTAATTTTACTGCTGAAATTGGTTTTATACTGTTAATTTTTCTTTTACCGTGCATATTGTACTTTAACCATTTTTATGTTAACTACTGAAAGAACCTAAGTTAGCAAAATATACTTAAAAAATTAGTTGCACTTTTATAAAGTTGCCTCAAGAAATTTCATTTATGTACACACATTTTTAGGCTTCAGTAGCTATCACCACATCAGATTAAGTTGTGGTTCAAACTTGATACCATCTCTACGTTAACAATGAAAAAGTATAGATTTTCCCCAAAATTATTGTTTTTCTAATGGATTTGTTGTGCCTAGATGGTCAAGTCACTTCTCCTCTGCACAAAAACCATAAATCCACTCAGATCTTCATTGTTTTGTAACTTCCCATAGAAAATTATTACCATTGCTTAATTCAAGACAGTGTTCATGCTTGTTTTCATTTATACTACCAAATGTTAAAATAACTTCAGACAAAGCTCTCAGATCACCACAGGGCCTCACTGTGTAACGTTCAGCTGAAAGTCATAACATCCCTGCCTTACAATTCGAGCTCTCATATTCCACTTTAGGCATCATACTAGCGTAGGTGATAGTTAATATCAATTTACAAAACATATTTTGCAGATGTTCCTCAAACAGCCACAGAACGTATCAGGCCAGCGATATAAACTGCATGAGAAGAGATCGTTTAAACATTTCCAAACATTTTGGAAAAGCCATAAAATAGCAAGCGCTATAAAACCAGAGCTCATCCTAAATCATCCCAGTAAACACGAACAGAAGAGCATTTTGCCAGCATTCCACATTTCTTGAAACGCGATGTCAAAAGTTTAAAGTTTCATCAAGGTTAATAAGTAGTTCACTCTTATAAATTTCCTAAAACAATTTTGCAATAGTCTTGATAGAAATCCCAGCAGATCTCAAATGACAAAACAATTTGTCACTTTCAAGGGGGAAAGCAGAATACTTCCATTTGCAAACGAACCTCATGGCAAACGCAAAGGCTTCATTTCGAAACCTCCGATTAAAACCAAATTATGCACTTTTCAGATTTACTCTGAAATATTACAGTTTTTATAACTCACCTCATGTTTCCCAAGGCATTGCCTGTAAATACACAAGAACAAAATAAAGGAAATAAATAAATATAAGGCCAAACAATTTGAATATCATTCCCTCAATTAATCAACCACCTGAAATTCATGAGCCAATTAGAAGCTGCAAGTATGGCCATCAGAATGTGGCCATTTGTTACAACGTCAATTGAAAGAAAAGATGTGTTTTCTTCTAACAGTGAGCAATAGCTTTTACAGCACTAAGTAAATCGTACGTAGTGATGGTTGACCCAGTTACATTCATAACTGGGCTCCCCACTCCAACCCCAAAAAAACCCTGGAAGGTGGTCTCTCGATAACCAAGTATGAGCTCCCAGTTATGTCACTGGAAGCACAACAGGGTCTTATTTCACACCCAAACTCATTACATGGTGGCAGACTCCAGTGTTGTAATTTCCTCTCCTCTTCCCAACTCCCTCAGGTGCAAGTACATCTGAGAAATTTAGAAAATTCTTGTTTATTTACTTAGTCTACATGTCCCTGGCATGCTACATAGACAGATGAAGGATTGGCCAGGGTTGCCGGGGGGGGGGGGCTGACACAGGATGGTTTAAAGGCAAAGGAGGCCACCATGATGCTGCTGTAGCTAAGCAGATCCAACTCTGGTCAGTATCTGGATGAGTGACCCTCTGGGAACCACATGTGGGCTCCCTTGGGATATCTAACGGAAGAAAGGTACGATAAACGTAATAAAAATATATCTATTGTAGCTATCAGACAGATAAGCGAGCTGTTGGAGTGGTACTCTCTTTTGTTTAGTGAATAGGAAACTCTCAGATATACTTTGTGTGTATAAATATGCAACAAATGCAATTCACAGGTTGTGGGCAAAGTCCAGTAATGCTGAACTTTGCACACAACTTAGGCACTCTCAGACAGGCACAATCCACTGGGACATTCTTCTGCGCAAGCTCCACCAAGTTAACACGAACTCTGCTGGATTACTGTGAGCAAATTTTGCAGCTGACAGCCAAACATGTACAGTCGTACCTTGGAAGTCGAACAAAATCCATTCCGGAAGTCTGTTTGACTTCCAAAACATTTGGAACCCAAAGTGTGGCTTCTGATTGGCTGCAGGAAGCTCCCCCATCGGACATTTGGCTTCCAACAATAGTTCGCAAGCCGGAACAATCACTTCCGGGTTTGTGGCTTTCGGAAGCCAAAACGTTTGAGAACTAAGCTATTTGAAAACCAAGGTATGACTGTACTAGGCTACAGATCTCCAACCGTTTAGTCTTTTTAACTGATCTGGCTTTACCTCTAGAAACAGCTTTAAAGAAAATGCATTTTGGTAACAGCAAGTCACAGCACAGGGAGGGCCATGCCACCCGAACACATAGAAATATGTCATTTCAAAGCATATTTTCATACTCACGTTGGAATAGGAACTTGACATGGAGGGCAAGGCAATGCTGTCTGAATAAATGTAGGCTCAGCTGACTGTTCCCAAGGGCCTGCTGGCTGATGCTGGGATGAAAGAAATTTGTTGTTATACAGCACATATTATAAAAGCTAACCATGCCTAGATGGTCTACCCCCAATCTCAACAAACATCCTTTACTTATTAGAACTCAACACACCACAACCATTAAAGTCGTGAAAACCAATCACCAGTTCTTAATGATAGCAGTACGTCTGTGTCAGGCAGTAAATAAGCAGATCAAACAAAAGGAGCATTCTTACCAGTTAGCTTTTTTAACAATCACAGCGAGAGACAAAGGAATGTATCTCTCTCCAGAAATGGCGTTGCTCCCAGTTAAGGTTTACCCCCTCCGTCCCCATTTATCTATGTCACTCCTACATCTGGTAATCTGAGTTTGTTGCCTCTGCGCTCTCTGTTCTATGACTCTCAAAGCCCATCTAGTCTTAGGTGAAGGGGGGTCAGGAATGCTGTCCAAGGACACTGAATCCTGCCAGCTGTCTCTCTCCTGGTGTTTCCACTTCTAGCTGTTCCTCACCCAGTTTTCCCCCCTCTGGACTATGCCCCTCTGTAAACCACTGTTCTAAATCAATACTGTCCTCCTGCCCTTGGGAAGGTTCAGAAAAGGGGGGGGGGCTCCCACAATTCCTCCTCAGTCCAGCCCCTGACAGGCTGTCACTTTTGGAGGGGTTCCAGCAACATCTCAAGTGGGAAGATTATATGGAAAGGAATAATCACAGAATCATAGAGTTGGAAGGGACAGCGAGGATCATCTAGTCCAAGCCCCTTGCAATGCAGGAATCTTTTGCCCAAAGTGGGGCTTGAACCTCTGACCCTGAGATTAACAGTCTCTTGCTCTACCAGCTGAGCTATACCAACTGACTGATTCCTGTGGAATCAGCACACTTCTCCCTGAAAGTGGTGACACTGCTACGGGGAGCAATCACATGGTTCTCTCACCGATCCAGTCTGTTTTACAAGTGCTTCATCATGGCAAGGAGCAGGGCAGGAGTGACCACACTTCTCAAAGGTTTTCTTGCAGGGCTGGCGGCAAGGGGGACAAGGGCCGAAGTGGCAGCTGTGTTTCTCTCGAGCAGGGTGATGGCAGGTAGGTGGCTGCCTAAAATGAAAACAGGAACCGTCAATAATTGCGACAAAAACTGGTTTACAGTCATTTATTTAACAAAACAACTTACTAGAACAAAAGAGCTCTAAGTGGTTTACAACAGCCATATACACAGCTGCTTGCTTTGTGTATCCCTTTTCCAAACGTGTTATGCTTCAGTCATGATGGAATGAAAAGATATATAAGCATGTCACTATCCATATTATCTCCAGAGAAAACCAAATTTCAAAAAATGGTTTCGTAACATTCATGATCAAGTAACCTCACTATGAGAATAACTCGTTTCTAGCAGGAGAAGAATAACTAATTTCTGGCTTAGGAGGCAGTAGCATCCAGAACAGCAGCAGGAGAACAAATCTTAGAGAACCGCAGAGGCTATAGCAGGGACTAGGTGAAACCTAGCCTACGTGGTAAACAGCAGCCAGCAAAGAAACTCTCTCCTCTGACAATGGCGATCGTATTTCACTACAGATCACTTAAAGAAAACAAATGAAAATAAAAGAAAGCAACAGACAAAACACACCGCTTCTCAATTGTTTTAAAATGAAAACAGTTATATTTAGCAAGCTTTAAACTTACAACCATATTTTCAACTAAGTGTAGGATTTGTTGGGACAGATTCAAACATGCCTGGTAGCTTGCCCACTCTATTAAATCACATGAGCTGGAGCATTCAGTCAAGGATGCACTTTTAATGCATGGATGCCAAGTCTGTGAGAGGGTAGCTCTTATTGAGTCTTTACTACAGTTATGAAGATGACTTCTCCCAGATACTAATAAAGCCCTCTCTCAGAAGCGGTACGAAGTTCATTTCGGGGCTTGCTTTTGACAGCTTGGATTATATTAGCATCAAACAGTTCAAATTGATGTTTTCCCTATTGCTATAGGCATGTTCTCTTATGTAGTCTTGGTGTGGCGTTGACACTATAGCCACATAAAGTTGTGCCCCAAGAGAATGCTTGAATTTGGACAAATAATCATAATCATAATCATTATTTATATGCCATCCATCTGACTGGGTTGCTCCAGCCACTCTGGGCGACTCCCAACAAAATATTAAAAACACAATATAGCATCAACCATTAAAAACTTCCCTGAACAGGGCTGCCTTCAGATGTCTTCTGAAAGTCAAATAGTTGCTTATCTCCTTGACATCGGATGGAAGGGCGTTCCACAGGGAGGGCGCCACTACCGAGAAGGCTCTCTGCTTGGTTCCCTGTAGCTTCATGTCTCACAGTGAGGAAACAGTCAAGAAGACGTTCCTTCAGGTATACAAGGCCAAGGCCATCTAGGGCTCTAAAGGTCAATACCAAAACTTTGAATTGTGCTCGTAAACGAACTGGGAGCCAAAGTAGATTCTTTACACTGGTGGTTTTTCAGAGCTGGAATGAATAAGGTGCCTTGGAACTTTAGGGGTGCTGCTATTACTACGGGAATAATTCAGCTTTGGGACTAACAGCCTTACTTGTGTAGCTACCATACCACTTCCTGCTCAACCTGTATAATTGTAAAAAGCATATTATTATGAAAGCTTTAAATTAAATTGCTCCCTCTCCACTACAAAGGAAGCCGACCTTGACACCCCAACACCCACCCCACTGTGCTGCAAGATACTAAGAGAAGCTTGCTTCAGGTTCTACTGCTCTTGTAAAACTATTTGGAACTCAAAGCAGCACCTTCCTATGGCAACACCAGCCTTTGAAACGCCTCTCAAGAGTTGCAAGTTGCAGTCTTACAGTGCACTGCATACTTCTTTCAAAACACTAAACTGTATTAATGTAGCTCCACCTGCTGCGAAGCCAATAATCTCAAAAGACCTAATTACGCCATTACAGAATTAGACCATTTCCAACACTAGTTTCGAAAGCTAGGGGACTTCCAAAGCGGTTTGCGATATCACACGGTGGTCTGATATTCAGGGGGAGTAAAAAATTATTTGCATTAGATTGCTATTTAATACTAACCTGCATGGTTCCTTGCACTTAGGAGCCTTGGTGGTACGCTCTCTACCACATGGCACTTTGAGAGCAGTTTTGCCGCAATTGCACTTCACATCTACAGTCTCGGGACATGGATAGCAGCTACCTACAATGAAGACAAGCAATACAAGTTGCCAACCTTGGAAAAACTTAACACATTTTTAAATGCAATCTACAACAGCAAAACTACTTTGCAATTAATTACCTGGATCTAAATAAGAAGTTATCAATTTAGTACAATTAAAATTAACAATGGTATTATGAATTCAGGAGGCATCGGTCTGGACAAACTCCACCCAGAGAACATGCTACTTATGTTCCCCGAATCTGTTTTGAATGTCAAAAGAGTTAACGCCTTTCTCTACTTTCTGAAAGGTCAGAAGTGAGCATCAGATTTCTGACATTTATAAGAAGCAATTTTTTTAAAAAAAGAAAAGAAATTACACTGCAAGGATGCAAACATTTCCCTTGCCCACACAAAGGCTCAACATTTGTATTTGAGTATGTCGGAACAAATATGAATATCCTTTCATAATATGAAAAATATGGAGTGGGTAGAACTGATAAAGCATATATAGCAAAGAAAAAGAATTTTTTATCACACTTTAGACAGAGGTGGACAACTGATTCATCCCCAAACAGTTCAAGTGCTCAAGAAGCCAAAGAGTAACCGCTGATTATTTAATTCAAGGTATAATTTCTACCACCATGACTAGTGCTAATCAACATATTACACTCTGTTTTTATGAAAAAACATTAATGTCCTGGATTGGACCCTCAAATATATATATATAGGTTCAGAAATGCTATGATGTGAACAACATTAAAGCTATTGGCTGTAATCAGAGATTACAATATTCCATTTTATAACAATTACCAACCAAGACACAACTACATCAAGTTTAAAGTACATTCAGGATGAAAGACTACAAGCAAGATTGCCTGCTCAGTCTTACCTCTGTGGCACACTGAAGGACACTTGTGATTCCGACATCCTAAAGTTCGTCCACATGCTTGATCACACGGTGGGCAATTTCCAGAACAACACTGAAACACACACGCAAGTGTTTTGAAGTACAGAAACTTTAGCTAAAGCGGCAAGCCTATTAATTACTTGGGAGTGAGTCCCAATGAGTAAGCACACAAAGGATTATGCTGTCGATAAGAAAACCACAACGGTTTGTTTTTTAAATGATAAAGTGTCGAAGAAAAATAAACATGTTGAGATGTTCCTTTCTTAAGGAAGCATCTTCAGAATATCCTTTGCCATTTTAAAGCATTTCAGCAGTTTCACACAGGAAGATGGAGTGCGTGTCCATTTTAAAGCAGGGATAACAATTTTCTGACAAGAAACTGATAGAAGAGTCCGAAGTAAGAGCAGGTGTCAAGTAGGAGCTAAAAGCATAAAGCTGGATAGCCCAAATCTTGCCTTGGCTAATAGCTAGCTAGTCAGTGTTTCCCAGTTGTTTTTGGACTACAATTCCCATCGTCCCTAGCTAGCAACACCAGTGGTCAGAGATGATGGGAATCGTAGTCTGAAAACAGTTGAAGTCCCAAGTTTGGGAAACACTGAGCCAGATGGTTTTGAGCTACTATTATTTCAACTTGAGCTCCATAACTTCATTATGGTGGAAACACTGAGTTACACCACAAGGGTGTTGTAAATATTACCAAGGTGATTCATGTCAAGCACCTCAACAATCTAAGGGCTAAGTATTATTGTTAAGCATTTTGTTTGACCTGTGTATATTATACAGTGGTACCTCGGGTTAAGAACTTAATTCGTTCCGGAGGTCTGTTCTTAGCCTGAAACTGTTCTTAACCTGAAGCACTACTTTAGCTAATGGGGCCTCCTGCTGCTGCCGAACCGCTGCTGTGCAATTTCTGTTCTCATCCTGAAGCAAAGTTCTTAACCCGAGGTACTATTTCTGGGTTAGCTGAGTTTGTAACCTGAAGCGTCTGTAACCTGAAGCATCTGTAACCCGAGGTACCACTGTACTCCAAAAAGACCTCACAGATTCTACATGCAGATCTACTAATCTGCTTCAACAATTCTACCTCACCAGCACCTTCAAACGGGATTTTCAGTCTCAGCACATTCACCTCCTTCTTGCTTTTCAAAAACCTCTTTAGTTTGGCCCTAGCACAAAGCAAATTGCTATATACAGCTGAATCTCTCTTAACTGTTTCACCACATTTCTTTCTATTCTTGGCCCAAAATGAAGACTTTGCTATTTTATAGCACCTACAACTAAGCACCTGTTTTAGCACGGTTTTGATGAAACTGCAATTATATTTCGTATGTTACCTTGAATACATTTGAGTTAATCAGCTTCCTTTCTACCTCTAAAAACAGTTCGTCTTCAAAAACCTATAATCTCAGACACATAAAAGACAAGGAGAGGGACAAGCTAACAAAGCTCAGTAAAACGGTTCATCTGAAAAAGGTTGGGAGTAAAAAAAAAGCAAAAAAAAAGGAAAAATTGAAGACGTCTCTTAAATATAACAAAGATAAGACAGAGTTAAGGACCAATGAGAGACCAGTGTTAAATGTTTTCTTGTGAACCACCCAGAAAGCACTATCATGGAGAGGGATACAAATATTGTAAATGAAATAAATGAGTAAGGAAAGTGCTCCAGGGAAAGGGGGTGGGAATAAATGAAATATAAAAAGCAATGCTCCAGCAAATAAAGCTTTCCAGCACCAAGTACGTCACACTCCAAGTTTCTCCTGTATATTGGATTATTGGATTTGAACTACTAAATTCATTCAGTACCTAGAAAGAACATACTCCTCTTTTTCATTACTCCCCACCCCCTTACTCCTTTAAGCCTTTGAAAGCTATTTTATCTCCGCCTGAAGGAAGATCATACATATCAGAGAACTAGTATATTTCTTTTCTCTGATTGCTCCAACAAGCTAGTCCAATAAGAATCGCTACTGCCACCTTCTGCAGGTATTTCACAGTGTAGGTGTTGTAAGAGCATCAGTTTCGAATTAGACCATTCTTAAATACAGTGGTACCTTGGGTTACATACGCTTCAGGTTACAGACTCCGCTAACCCAAAAATAGTACCTCGGGTTAAGAACTTTGCTTCAGGATGAGAACAGAAATTGTGCTCCGGCGGCGAAGCAGCAGTGGGAAGCCCCATTGGCTAAAGTGGTGCTTCAGATTAAGAACGGACCTCCAGAACGAATAAAGTACTTAACCCGAGGTGCCACTGTAACCCGATTTCTTTCTCTGTGAGTGGAATGGCAATACAGTGGTACCTCGGGTTACATATGCTCATGGCGAACCAGAGCAGCGCATGTAAATGCCGTTTACCTTCCCGCCTATTTATCTACTTGCACTTTGACGTGCTTTCAAACTGCTAGGTTGGCCGGAGCAGGGACCGAGCAACAGGAGCTCACCCCCATCGCGGGGATTCGAACTGCCAACCTTCTGATCGGCAAGTCCTAGGCTCTGTGGTTTAACCCACAGCGCCACCCGTGTCTCTAAGTCAAACCTTGACTTAGCTGCTGAACTGAGTCCAAAGGACTACAATGGTACCTCAGGTTAAGTACTTAATTCGTTCCGGAGGTCCGTTCTTAACCTGAAACTGTTCTTAACCTGAAGCACCACTTTAGCTAATGGGGCCTCCCGCTGCTGCCGCGCCGCCGAAGCACAATTTCTGTTCTCATCCTGAAGCAAAGTTCTTAACCCGAGGTACTATTTCTGGGTTAGTGGAGTCTGTAACCTGAAGCGTATGTAACCCGAGGTACCACTGTACAGCGCAATGAAGCTGGTGCAAGCTGCTCTCCTGAGCCAGTATGTTTGCCTGGTCTCAGTAAGCCATAGTTTGCGCTTAGCGTGATGTGCAAGCCAGGCCACTGAAAGCTAAAAACCGCTGTGGCTTTCTCAGCTGCTCCCACATGCTTACAGGCTGTGTCTCAGAAACAGAAGCATTTTTGGAAGTTGAACCAAACTTTTCCAAATGACTCTAGCTACAAAAGGATGGCGATGCATCCTCAATACCTACTCACCTTCCTCTTGCACTGGTGCTTTTGACAGTCCCGGATTTTGGCACACTTTGTTTCACAAAGGTATGGCTTATGGCAGGGCATCTGTTTTGTATGCTTTCCACAGCGGCACTGCTTTTCAACTTCCTGTTAAGATACAAATGGAGGAAAACTAAAGCTAGGAGTTGTACATTCAGCATGTTAAAATTATTTTATATATATATATAAATAATTTTTATTGAACGATTTTATGTTACAAAAAACAATACAGCCATACTACCACTAAATATAATTAAGAAATAAAAATTACATACATCAATATTTAGTTTGTTATTTGTCTTTTACTGTCTTATTTCCTCCCAAACATTGCATACATTGCATACAAAAACACTGCACACCCACACCCAAAATGATAATAATGAAAGTAAATATTTTTCCCCCTTTTATCTTCCAAAGTCTTTTCTTCATTTCTTCAACTTTGACTTCCTGTCAAGTCCCTTTGCATATATTTTATCTTACATTTGAATGTACACAAAACAATAAACCTTTCTATATAATTTTTCCAATATATTCTGAAAACATAATAAATTCCTTTATCACTCGAATGCTAGCACGGAGTCAAAACTATTATTCTATTTTTGAACATATCTTCTATAACCATCCCATTTTTCCACAAATTTTTGCTTTGAGTTTCCGCTGAGTTTACTAGTCAGTTGAGCCGTCTCCACCAATTCCTGTAATTTGCCAATCTGTTATTTTTGGAACCTCGTGATCTTTCCATGTTAAAATTTCAGCATGTGAAAATTAAGGCACATCACTGATAGCAAAAATGCATGGAACTCATCACAGATTAGAATTCAGGAGGGGGTAAAGTAGCATATAAAAGAATTCAATGGTGGAAATTAAGCTGCACAGAAGAGTCTAGCATGTTGTGTGACAAGAGGCCGGAAAGAAACCCTTTCATAGGCTAGAGCTTCTGTACAGGCCCCTTCATGATAACAGGAATAACTAGAATCAAAAAGATGTGGCACATCCTCATGGAAACAACAACTTAATTTGACTTGACCTCAGGAAAACTGTTTACCTTCTCATCTGTTTGTATGAACTAGGCCCAAGAAGAGACAGTAGAAAACGCAGGCGGAAAGAAACATGAGATTGTTGGGAAGGCCACCGTTTTCAGAAGAAGAAACTGTAGTTTAGAATATGCAAGTAGCAGCCAAAATGATGGTGATACAAGCCTATACCATCAGAAAAAGGAAACTTAAAGAGGTAGAGGAGCTAGCAGAGGTTGAAATTAGGGGCAGCAGTTCCCAGTGGGCCTGCAGAACATGGAATCTCGCAATGTCCTCTTAGAACTATCCAAGTGGATGACAGACTTTGGGAAAGTTTACCTTTCCTGCCTCAGTTGTTACAATCATCAAGCTTATTCTGAAGGACACTCTTCAAAGGGATTGTTTTAAGGCAAGGACATTTTGAATCCTCACAACAAAAAGCAGATAAGCCTATAAAAACAGGCCTCATTTAAGCATGTTCCCACACATAAATCCAAGCCAATACAGGAACTTTATCTATTCCCCAGATTTGAAGGACAGAAGCTAGGGGTTGTGGTAGCTTGTTTTTTTGGTTGAGGACACAAAGCAGTGGAGACAGCATGTTTCCTGAGCTCAGAGAGGGAGAGGACAGCTAAAAGAAGAAACATATCTTTATTTTCTCTGCCTCAAGGAAGCTCATTGGAGATAAAGTCCTTCAGAAGTCCTGAAATAATGGAAAGTTATTCAAAAACATGTGACCGAACTGGAAGAGAAATGCTAACCTGTCTACAGATTTCACAGGGGCCTCGGTGGCAGCGCTGGGAACATCTATGAATCCCACAGTCAAGAGCTTTGTCACAACTGTCTCCACATGTAGGCACATCCTCCGTACACGGTAAAGAAAATTCTAAGGCAAAACAAAACAGCAAAGCTTCTGTCATTTATTATACACAATTGAAAAAATGAAAGCTACATTTTTGTCTCTCTTGTTTCATGAAAAATAAGGCTTTACGTCAAGAAAAGGAGTTACAGTTTTTATATAATGGGCCCAATTTAATTAAGCTAGGCAGGTCTTGTGTCTAACCTCATTCTGGGCAAACTTTAAATTTAACAAAAGTCTGCTATTGTATTACTTTGACTTGTATTTGAATGCAGTTTAGATTTTAGGAAGCTTAGCTATATTGGTGAACTGGATGCATGCTAGATGGGCAGAAGAGAGACACATTCTTACTTGATTTTCCACATGGACAACTCCTTTTGCCAGATCGGGGACACTCTCCACAAGAGCCAGCATGACAAATCTGTTCACAGGCATGATAACCACAAGGCAATGTTTTGCCACACACCTGTTGGGAAAACACATACAGCACATGCAAGTGAGGAATTTAACAAAGCAACGAAATACAAAAATCCAATGGAATGCAAGAAAGAAAAAGGTGATCGCTCCCCGAATTCCATATTAATAAAAAGGAATACGTGAACTCTTCCTGAACCATATTGTTATAAGAATTAAACATCTTTCGGAGCAAAGCTTTGTTCAAGTTACATCAGCCTTATTCAGCAAGAAAAGATGACAAGCAATTACAGACTGGCCATATTCCAGCAGTATGCTAAGCCACAATTTAGTGCAATGTGAATCTATCAGCTGTGAGCGTGAAAGTTCACTCTTCCTTCCTATGTGGCTAGGAGCAGTTTGGAAGCTTTTACTTAACCACGGTTTGTAGTTTCATCAGAACCAACAAACTCTGGAATAAATCAGCTTGGAGGCATTGAAGCTTCTGAACTCAAAGTTCATTGAACCTCATTCCAGTTTCTTCCAGTCACACCAAACTATGGTTTAGTGCAGGCATGTCCAAAGTCCAGCCTGGGGGCCAAATCCAGCCCCCTGGTCAATTTAATCTGCCCCCCCCCAGCAATTCTGAGAAATGAGTCTGTTGTGCCCCCCCCAAAGGAATAAGTCCGCCAACGACTTTAATCCTTAAAAAAAGCACTGCAACTTTAGGTGAAAATCCTTTAAAAAAGCTCAACATTTGGCCCTCTTTGAAAAAGTTTGGACACCACTGGTTTAGTATAATGTTTTTTAGTATGATGTTTGGCCACTGAGGGTAATTTTTTTGCAAAAAAATAAATGAATCATGCAGCTTTCATATTTCACTAGTGAAGCTCTCATCATTGTAACAGCTCAGGGAGGGAACTGTAGACTGCAGATGTCTACAAATGCACTGCAAATGCACCTTAGCTCTACAGGCAGAGAACTGCACTGTACACACAGCCCTTTGCAGAGGTTCTTTCCGCAAAGGCAAGACTGTTCACTGCCATGGACGGACAGTACGACCAAAATTATTTATTTATTATTCAACAAAAGTAATACAGCACAAAGATATAAACTAAAACTTTCAAACTCTCAGGGGGGAAAGCCTACAAGGTACTAGGAGCCCTCCTCTTGTTTCGTAACAAGTACAGCAAAAAGGAAAATTTCTGCAGGTGATGCTTGCTATGCCAAGGCCGAGAGCAGCTGAATGTGCTGAAATTTCCCCGTCCTCCTTCATGTGTAACCATGCCACGAAGGAGACAACAGAAAAAGAGAGAGATGTTTATTTTCGCATTTTTATGCCATAAAACGAGCAAGTCTAGGCCATCAAAGGGGCTTTGAGACTTATAAATATTGGGTTACATCTAATGACGTCCCTCTGCTGACAGAAGGCTCTTTGATTCAGTGGATACTTCAGTCAGTCAGCATAACAGGGAGGGAGGTCATTTTCACCAATTCCTTTCCCCTCAGCAGCTGCATATCACCGTCCGCAACTCTTGAACAGAACTGGGTTCATGTGTGGGAAGCTGCAGAGGGGGAGGAAGATCAACAAAGAAGATGATGCTTCTTCGTGTGCTGATGACGGAAGCCTCCACTGGATCAAGTAGTGCTCCGTCAACAAGAGGGCACTGCTGAATGCAACTGACTGTATTTTGTAATAACCACTGCATCAAACGCACGCTAAACGAGGAATTATTGGGCTCTCTTGTAAAACCTTTTATTCATAGCCACTTGCATAAAATGTGGCCGCAGACTCTAGTCTAGAAGCTATGGCATGGATCCAGAACTGCTCTAGAAGAAGCTGAAGGTTCTTCTGGTCACAGAGGGCAGCCTCCCAATTTCTCCTTCCCAACGAAGAAGTACCCTACCTACACCATCTGAAGTAATCCCCATTCCCTGAGTAATAGGGTTCTCGAGAGGTGGGGGTGGGATCAACAGGGAGCTGTGGTGATGGGGAAGCACCAGGAAAGCTCCAGCGCATAGCATGGATACCTTTGGGATCCACGTGTAGCAGCACATGCAACCACAGCAACACAAAGTGGCTGCAGCACAGAAGCGATGATTCAGACAACCAGCACACCTACACCCCAGCCTGTAATCCCAGCTGAGTTGCAAGCCTGCTGGTAGGTCTGCTGCTAACCATAAAGGTAAAGGGGTAAAGAGACCCCTGACAGTTAGGTCCAGTCACAAACGACTCTGGGGTTGTGGCGCTCATCTCGCTTTATTGGCCAAGGGAGCCAGCGTACAGCTTCCGGGTCATGTGGCCAGCATGACTAAGCCGCTTCTGGCGAACCAGAGCAGTGCACAGAAATGCCGTTTACCTTCCCGCTGCAGCGGTACCTATTTATCTACTTGCACTTTGACGTGCTTTCGAACTGCTAGGTTGGCAGGAGCAGGGACCGAGCAACGGGAGCTCACCCCGTCGCAGGGATTTAAACCGCTGACCTTCCAATCGGCAAGCCCTAGGCTCTGTGGTTTAGACCACATACGGTCATGTTAAAAAGGAAGGTGCTCTTTGAACTCTGTGGTTTTACCTATCAGGACATAATAACAACCCCCTGCTCCTTAGCAGGTCTTAAAATAAGGTAAATACAACCTCTGATGAACAACACATGGCGTATTACACCCCGTCATGATTTATTTAACATAAATATAGCCATAATGGAGAAGCCATGTGTGAAAAACTAAGCACACCCAACTGCCTGCACAGGAATGAAGAGGCTCAGTGGGCAGACAGGTGCTGAAAACAAATTTCCTTGCTTAATTGTATAAAGTGGGACCAAAATTGCTGTTTTTCCAAATGACTCCATTAATCCCATATGCTTCTTCATGTTAACACATAAGATTTCTTGCTAGAGGTTGGCGCGGGGAACAGAGTCAATGCTGGTATCACCCGCCACCCTTCTTATATAACGAAACCCTATATGTGATGACAAAACATGGCAACATTTCAGGAAACTTACCTGATCGCACTGCCATACAGGACTTGCACAAAGCCTCTCTGCTACTTGCCTACCGCAGATGCAAGCTTGTTTACTGACTCTTGGACAGGGCTGGCATTCTCCTAAAGGTAAGGCAGAGTTAAATATTAGAATACAGCTTGGACAGAGATTGTTTTAATTTCTTCACCCACTCGGGAGAAGGACAGGGCGCGGCCAGGAGTGTTAGAAGAGGAGCGGGAGAAAACTGATCCTGCTGACAAAAATGAGAGTCAACCTGAAGTAACATCCAACACAGAAACATCTACCTGGATGACAAGGTTTCTCACAGTTGTGCTGTCCACAAGGCAGCTTTCGTCCACAGGGCAGCTGACACGACCACTCTTTGGTGCTGCATCTTCGTGGCACAGGCTTAGCCTTCTTGCAGTAGCAGGTTATTGTGACCATCTTCGGACAAGGCGGGCAAGGACCTAGAAATAAGAAAAAGAAAGGTTATCCAGCACAGAACATCCGAGTTGTCGAGTCAGAATCAACAGGGACTGGGGAGATCTTGGTTCAAATCCCCTCTCTGTCCTGAAATTTGCTGGTTAACTTAGGGCAGCCTAAGCTACCTCACAAACCTATTGTGATGACGCAATGAAAAATCTATGTGTGAGATTGTATTATATTGTATTTAGTATGTGCATGTTAGTTATACAGTAAGTAGTGGCTATTATCCCAAAGCTTTCACTTACTGGCAACTTTTTAATGTGCCACCTGATGTAAAAAATCAGTTCACTCTCACGTAACCATATTAGTAACCATATTACATTTTTAAATCTGCACCGACCTAGGCTTTTAATTACAGTCATACCTTGGTGTTGGAATAGCTTAGTTCCCAAAGGTTTTGGCTCCCGAACGCCGCAAACCTGGAAGTTACTGTTCCGGTTTGCAAACTATTTTTGGAAGCCGAACGTCTGACGGGGCATCCACGGCTTCCGAAGCTCCTGCAGCCAATCAGAAGCCGACCTTGGTTTCCAAACATTTTGGAAGTCGAATGGACTTCCAGAACGGATTCCGTTCGACTTCCAGGGTATGACTGTATAGCTTATGTGCGGTTACATTAACATCACATACCTGGGTGACAAAGTAGCAGGCACCTGTGTCCACAGGGAGGCTTGAAATCTCTTTCACATACTTGGCCACAGGAATGTGGAACTAGCCAGGGATCAAGTGGCGGGTCCTCTACCTTTCTGCAGTAGCAGTAGTAGCGAGTGGGAGTCTCCGATCGCTTGTACTCAAATCTGCACTTTGGACTGAAAGATCAGAGGAAAAATTCACAGAGGCTTTGGTAAAGTTCAGCTGAAGTATATGACTTTACTGCAACCACAACAGTGATGCAGCCACAATTATGGATGCTAAATGCTGATTCAAAGCCCAATGTTTACCAACAATACAAAAAACAACAACAAAAAACTGTGACACTATAACATCAGCCATTAGCAAGTGAAATAGATTTATTTATTTACAGGATTTTTTACAGTGCCTTTCAAAAAGGAGTTTCCAGGAAATTTACAGAGATGCATGTAAAAACATAATATTAAAAATACAGGTTCCATCCAAATGCATTCTTAAATGAATAGCTCAGTCAGCAGAGCACAAGACTCTTAATCTCAGGGTCATGCGTTTGAGAGCCACGTTGTGCAAAAGATTCCTGCATTGCAGTGGCTTGGACTAGATGACCAAGTCCAACTCTACACTTCTATGATCCTAAGTCAAAGCAGCATTAAAGAGAGAAAACGGGTTAAGCAGCCCCAGAGAATAAAAGTATTTACCTGTTGCCTGTTGCCAAAAAGATACCAGCACCAGGTGAACCTCTCTGGGGAAAGAGTTTTACAGAGAAGGCACCGCAATCAAAAATACATTTCCCCTGGCTGCCAGCTGCCTCACTTAGCATGTTGTCTTAGTTCATGGAAGCTTGACATGGAAGCAGGTGTCCCTTCAGGTAGCTAGGTCAAAGCCATGTAGGGCTTTCAAAAGTGAAGCCCTTGAGTTGTGTTTTGCAACAGACTGGAAGCCAATGGAGTTCTTTCAATATCTATGAGATGTTTTCCCAGCAACTGGTCCTTGTTCCTAGCAGAGCAGCTCTATTCTGGACCGAAAACCTAGTTTCTACCATCTTCAAGAGCAGTCCCATATAACAATAGTCTAACAATAAAGTTACCAACCCATGGATGATAGTTGTCAGGCTCTCTCTATCCCAAAGAGGTTGCCTAAGCTGGTGAAAAGCACTCTGCACCACTAAGGTCACTTGGGCCTCCAGTGATATAACAAGATGCAGAGATATCCATCCCACAGGGAGGAAGCCAAACACTATTTCTTCAAAAAATAAAAATAAACCACCCACTCAAAAGAACTGCTGTCTTGTTCAGTGTATGGACTTCCATCCATATTGTACGCAAATAAGACTTTTTGTGATACTTCAACTAACATTATGATTTCAACTGTGCACTGAATGAAGAGGTTAGAGATCAAAATTCTCACAGGGAAATTTCACATTTCCACTCTGCTGCTGCTGTGCAACTGCTTAACCCTAAGCACCACTCAAAAGAACAAAACAGGATCACATTTGCCATTAAACAAGGCTAGAGGAGAAAAGAATCCAGGTCAAAATGCAAGGGAAGATCAAAAGGGCATATTATACCAACCAGGGTAGCAAAGAGAAGGAAGAAATCATGCTTTCTGTCCTCAGACATTATTTTATTTTTGGTTATGTTATGTTTCAGCAGGAGCATTTCCCCAGCTTTAAAGCTGTATATACTAAAAGTTCTTGAAACAGAGAACTTTCATCTGAGCAAATGGTGTGGGATTCAACTGATTTACAATGTTTTAAGTTCACCCATTACTACTTAAACGTGTTTAACTTTAGTTGGCTGTGCTCACAGTGCAGCCAAGTCCTCCGTCACGGAGATGGTATTTTTCATGCACACAACACCAACATACCCTGGGATTGCTAAAGATACTTAAATGCAAAGGATTTTTTTCATTAAATGCAACATTAGAGCACACATTTTACAGCTGTCTGGCTCTTCTCTTAAGTACTGTTTTCCCACCACATAAAGGAGCTTTCAAAATAAAACCGTAAAAGCCTACCAAGGCCATGGATAATCCCTCTTTCCGAAATCATCATCTGTCAGTGGAGAAGATATTAGAAAAAGGCTATCCTTGGCCCACTTCTGAATGCAAGGCATGTGAAATATGCAGAAACATCCAGAACAACTCCAGACCTAGAAGGCAGATAAAGATGTTTCAAAGGCCTTTCCAAGTAAACATGATGATTTGGCGTGTAAAATTCAACACACATATGCAACAATCCTCCTCTCCCACTGCTGCAAAAAAACTAAGGTGAATATTGGGTTTTATTTATTGTGCTATGTCCTGATGTAGATCCTGTTATCAGGCTGTGTAAAGCAGCCATTTTATTTATTAAAAAAAAATTGTTAGCGTATTTACATGAATCGAATGCTCTGCTCAATCTAATGCGCACCCTAACTTTCGCAAAGTAATTTGGCCAAAAAAGGTGCACATTACATTCAAATAAATACGGTGGTATCCCCACTACAGGGTCTGTTATAGAGTTTAAACAAATGGAGCACTGACTTATTGGTAGTTTTTTTTAAATGTGGTCAAATCATGACAGACACAATTTCACAATTTCTGTATTTCACAACAATCCACACTATAGTTTACCAAGACCACGTGGCCATACTGACTCCTGGAGAGCATCTTGAGCCCACTGTGTTCATCAGAGTGTTGGTGCTGACCTTTAAAGCCCTAAATGGCCTCGGTCCTGTATACGTGAAGGGGCATCTCCACCCCCATCATTCAGCCTGGACGGTGAGTTCCAGCTCCAAGGGCCTTCTAGTGGTTCCCTCACTACCAGGCAGAGTGCCTTGCACCTTCTAGAATGCACGCCCCCAGGTGTCAAGGAGATAAATAACTATACAACTTTTAGAAGACATCTGAAGGCAGCTCTCTATAGGGAAGTTTTAAGTATTTGATGTTTTATTATGCTTTTGTATTTGTTGGAAGCTGCCCAGAGTCGCTGGGGTTACCCAGTCAGGTGGACAGGGTACAAATAATATAATTATTAATGATGATTATTATTATCATTAAGCATAGTGCAATGAAGCAGATAAGCCAAGGTTTGGCTTATTGTGTCATCCAAACACAGGATTGTGGTTAAGGTCTCTCCTCCTTAGCCATTAACCAGAGGACAAACCTTGGGTACAGGCAGTGGTTAAGGAGGAAAGACCTTAACCATGATCCTAGGTTCAGACAACACACTAAGCCAATCTTGCATTGCACTAAAAAGACCAGGAGAGGAGCCTTTCTGGGAGCCAACATATTCTCACAGTCCTGGTAAGCCATAGTTTGCTTTACTGTGATGTGCAAACAAGCTCAGAGTGCAAGAAAGGTAAGTATCTCTTCTCCCATCTGTCCTTCAAAGAAGTCACTCTTCCTTGGACCTGAACCCCTTTCAGAGTATGCTTGTCCTGGCTAGGATCCATCCCATTCCGAGCAAGAGTGCACAAGTGAGAGAGTGCTGAAGGCCAGAGAAGAAGAAGAAGAAGAGTTTGGATTTGATATCCCGCCTTTCACTCCCTTTAAGGAGTCTCAAAGCGGCTAACATTCTCCTTTCCCTTCCTCCCCCACAACAAACACTCTGTGAGGTGAGTGGGGCTGAGAGACTTCAAAGAAGTGTGACTGGCCCAAGGTCACCCAGCAGCTGCATATGGAGGAGCGGAGACGCGAACCCGGTTCCCCAGATTACGAGACTACCGCTCTTAACCACTACACCACACTGGCTCTCATCAGAGCTTGACTGATTATTTCAACACGTGGCAATTTTAGTATCAGAAGTGGTAATTTCAATTGTACCACTAGCTCTTACTGTGGTTTCTTAGGTGGGGGAGGGGGGATGTGTTGATGATTCCCTAAATAAATGTAACGGGATGCAGAGAACAGTTGGATTTCTGCAGCTGGACCCAATTCAGGCAGTCAAAGTAATAAAACAAAATTACTTTTTCATGCCCAGCCACAATACAAATGTCTGAAAAATGAGAGGCTTTTGATCACTTTCTGAAGCTATCAACATCATCTTGAAAGGAATTCCAAAGATGAAGTGACAGCGCAGTCGAAAGCATACTTCTTTATATGCCCTCTCTAACTGAAGAGCAAATACATTCCAACTAAACAGCAAATGTTGAAGAAGTGGTAATGTTACAATACTCTATAGTGTAAGATGCTTACCGCTTGGTTTCTCTTAATTGAAGCAATACATATCAAGCACGTCATTGCCCCAGACTGAAAAGCATCATTCATGTACTGCCTTGTGCGTTCCAGTTCACTTGCATCTCCATCTTTGAACAAGACAGGAAGACAATTTTGTTTTTTGTACAAAGCAGTAGTCAGTACTATTTTATCCTAATGTTAGAGGACCAGCGCCAAAGGATAAATCAAAAGCTTATTTGTGAAGCTGTTTATTTCCATGTAAAACAAAATGCCACGCTAACATTTGCTGATGGTCTGAAATGGAAACCATACATGAATCAAGGCCATACCTCTCTAAACCCCAACATATAATGACTATTAAGAGACTAATGTCTGTGGGAAGACTGTTTCGTAATCAAGGGACTATCAAAGAGTAGGTCCTTTTCAAAGTTTCAGTCACCCAAATGTCCAGTGAATCTCAACTCACAGGCTGAATGATACAGGGAGAAGGGCTCCCTCTGTTAACTAGGTCCCAAACCATTTAAGCTTGAATTGGGCTTGGTAGTGAATAGGCAACCAGTGCAGATCTTTTAAAAACAGTGTTATATGGTCTTCTACAGCTGCTGTATTTACTGTTACACATTACTTTTGTGATAGATTGAGCTATATTTCTGAGCATACATACATACATACTGTATGGTTCCTATAATATAAGCATTCATTAATGTGTTACTTCCCCAATTAAAGAAATCATTATCTGAATAATGATCTCAGTGTAGTGATAGGTAGGTCTTGATAAGACAAGGGCATGTGAAATAAATAAATAAAAGCTTTACCAGTTTGATTTGTATATGTGGTAAATGTCTTGGCCAATATTTTTCCATGTTTTCCTTTGATATCTTCATCTTCTTCTTCAGAGGAGGAACTAAATTGATCTTCAACAAGCTTTCTAGCTGCAGCTTGGTTAGCCTTCTTAATTTCATCAAATTTTTTCTGGGAGGTTAGCTCTGTTAGGGGAACAAAGTTTAAACAGAGTTTAAAATGTGACAGCATCTTTCAGAAAAATAAATGCAACTAATAAAATCTCTGTTTAAATATCTAATGAACAAAGCAAGCATTAGATGCTTTAAAGGGAATATTTTTTTCCACAAAGGCCACACCCTAGCACTGTTTAGATTATCTTCTGGCATTCTTGGAAGGGGCACATGACTCTTTACAGCTGGTTTCAGTATTTTCTTGAAACACAGCCTATACTTGCCTGGTTCTTACTGCATAAGCAATGTATACAAGCTCATTTACACCTGCACTTCTGCTGCAAAGGTGAAGAAGGCATACAATGGCTTGTATCTAAGGGCCCAACTTAAGAGTTACACATAAATGTGCATAATCAAACCCTTAACAGCTTTCTTTCCTGCTTCAGAAGGGGCCATTTTGGAGCAAACCAGCAGTGGAAGGGAATGCCTAAGTCTTCATACATCCATTGGCTGCATCTGTACTCCAAACAGCTGCTTCTATTTTCCGGTGTGGGGATTCCACATCCATACATTTAAAGGTCATTCCTTCCCCCCAAGAATTCTGGGAACTGCAGTTTTAAGGGTGCTGGGACTTCTAGCTTTGTGAGGGGTAAACTACAGTTCCAGGATTCTTTTGGGGGAAGTCAATGAACGTCATGTAAGCATATTTGCATAAAATACTTGTCTGGTTTTCAAATACGTTCAGCAACAATATCGCAAATGACCTAAATGTTCAATAATTACAGCAGCAGCCACACAAATCAGGCATGCTCCCAGTTCTCAGCTCCAATGTATCAAATAACTGAGCTGGCTTTGGAAAACAGATTGCTTTTAGTGAAGGGCTGGTGCCTTTTTATTGTAATTATGTTTTTAATGCATTTTATATTTGCCTTAATTCTACCAATGCTTAATTGGTCATTGTTTTTAATGATTTCCCACCCAACAGTTTTCAACTGCTCTTATTGTAAGCTGCCTCCAGTCCCTGTTAGGGAGAAAGGCAGGGTATAAAACATTAACCTTAATACGGAACAAAACAAGCGTAAACTGTACATGTGAAAAACATGTTAAGAACTTAAGAGAGTCCGCCTTAAATAAAAATGGTCCCTATTATGAACTGGTTTGTATCTCAATGAAGATATATATATATATATATATATATATACACACACCTATACTTCGAACAAGATTTCAGCTTCTGCTCAGGGCGATTAGAAGCTATGCAAGGGTGTATGGAAGCCTCCTCTCCCACCATACCAAGAAGCCTTTTTTGAAATATATATATATATATATATACACACACACACACACACACACACACACATAAACACAGTGTAAAATAATAAATCAAATGCCCTCCTTCTTGAAGCAGCTGCAGGGAGCTGCATTCTTGCTCTCCCTTCAATACATTTTATTTTAATTTTTTTTTAAACACCTCCTCATGCCTTTCCTATTTCACCTGGGCCCCAAGTGGAGTATGAGGGGCTCCCCCCCCCCACGGTAGGTGTGTGAGGTTGTGAAAATACTCACCGCGGGCTCCTGAGGTGTTATTACTACAAGCCCCGGCGGCCGGGGAGGCGCCTCCCCTTCCCCTTCCCCGGCCGCCAGGTCCGCTGCCTGCAGGGACACCGCCGGCTCCGGCTCTCCCCCTTCCCCGGCCCCGGCCGCCCTGGCGCCAAGCCGCCTCCATCCTTCTTCCTCCACCTCCTCCCTCCCCAACACAAGGCCCGTCGCTCGCTCGAAGCCGGGACGGAGCAACCCGTCGCCGCCCGCTTTCAGAGGATGAGGCGCAGCAGCTGGGAGGATCCAGGTGTAGCCGACGTAGCGCTTCCTCGGCAGTTCACGGCGTGCCGGCGCCTAAACTACAATTCCCGGCATCCCTCGCGGCAGAGAATCGGAAGTGGGAAGGGCAAACACCGGAACCTTGGTGTGGCAGGACTCCGCCCCCTCTCTTTCTGTGCGGCGCATAAAGAACCGACGGCCTCCGAAGTGACCCACGGAGAACTACAGCGCCCAGAATGCATCAGAAGGAGCGCCGTCGAGCGCTTTCGTTTTGCGCAATTATATATATAATTTATTATTATACATATAGTAATATATTTTAATTATTATTATTATTATTATTATTATTCCACGCCCATCTGGTATTTAGACCCCGCCTGTTTCCCCCCGACAGGGAACTGTGCAAGGTCTCATTCGCCTGGGCTCAGACATTTCAGTGTTTTTCCTGCAGGGTCACTTTGATCTATACAATTTTAATACATAATAAAAGTATTTCTCCACAACCAGGCGTTTGGCTGATTAACATTCTATGGTTTATTAAATGTGTTTGTGGGAGGGGGAAGTTATTGGTTTATTTTTTGTGAAGGGCAGTAGACAAATTATTATTATTATTATTATTATTATTATTATTATTATTATTATTTGGCCATTAGTTACTACAGCTAAGTTTTGTTCCAGATTTGCTCAGCGAAATGTTACTGGGAGTTTATGCTCTCTGGACTTCCCAGCCCAGTTACTTAGCAAAACCACTTGACATTAATCACATTCAGACAATCAATTTGCATGTCGGGCTTCTTCAGAATAAAAAAAGTCCCATGGCAAAAGAAGAAGAAAAGCAACATGCAGAGGGAAAGGTTTTGAGGACAGTTGAAAAAAAACTTTTTTGTGTGTGCATACACATACTTCAAAAGTGCTGTTTTTCAGATTTCAGCCGTCTCCCAAGGACTGAAAAAAGCAAGCAAATCCCTCAAGCCCCGTTTTTAAAATCAGGTGACCTAATCCAGACTGTAGCTAAACTGCTATTTGCTTCTCTAAACACAAAATGCCAGTGTACTGTACTACAAAGAATAAACACTAATTGTTGCAGTACAAGTTATTTTTTCTGTGTAAACCAAGAGTTAATAATTTTTTTCCTCCTATTTTTGGGATGCCTCGATAGACCAGCGAGAGCACAAATTTTAAATATCCACAACATGTTTTGCCAAAACAGAACTGAGACATGGAATGTGCTTATCAAGAGGTTGCAGAACACTAAGGGCTGCTGAGAGATTACGTCACCTCCCCACATCAAGGTCACCTACCAAGAGAAGATCAGCCTGGTCCAAACTACTGACCAGACGGATCCCGGAAGCAGTGGCACCTACACAGCTTCCCAACCTCAGTCCAAGGAAAGAACAGGGTAAAAAAGCCACATGACCTTTATATGAATTTCCAGATCAAGACTGCTGAATGGAAAGCCTTTCTTTATTAGCAGATTGAGAGAACAGTGCTGCATTTTGAAATGCACATGTTCCAAAATATACCTCTTCCTGCTGCCATTTACAAACTGATGTCTTTCTTCCACCTTATCCATTTTTTACAGAGTCAATCTTGCTACCTTTGGGCAGGGCTTATGCCTTTATTTTAATCTACTGTACCTAGTCACCATATGCAGTCTAGAAATAATTTAGTTATATGTTTAAAACTGTTGATAATCACAGAATACGAGGTCTCCTGGTAAGAATCTACAGCTCCATCTCAAGAAACCCCTTTAGGCACACGATCCTCAGAGGTTATATGTAGCCAGTCAATACAAACGCCAAAAATTTTCACAAGGGTTTTATTAAACAGTGTGGAATTTTATTGCATCACATTCTCCCGATAACTTGCAACTGACTGATTATAATTACTGCTAATTTCCTGGGCAGCTGCTACAAAACAAAGATCTTCTATCAGAGTTGACTTTGTTCTGAGTAGAAAGTGCAGCAAACTTATCTGTAAATCAAAATGACTGCTGAGGAGTCCAGCTTATCATCTAGATCAAGTGATATTTTCTGGTCACACTTATAACAGATAAAATGTAAATTATTGAAAATACCCTTCATGCTTGGCTTAAAAAGAAAATCAGCCAAGATTAACAGATTCCATGTTCAATGAAGCCTCCTTATTTTGTCTTTTATTAGACTATTACAGATTCAGCAGTCCTTACAATAGCTCCGTTTCTACTCTTTTCATTCTTCAGTTTCTTCTAAATTTGATAAATCAAAATCCATAGGCGCTTTTATGATGCTCTCAACTTGTGTTAGCCTTATTTTCAATTTTTGCTGTGCAGCACCATATTCAGCCAGAAGTCTAGCAAACCTTGTTTGTAAACAGTCAAGCATTACTTCTATTTGGTTGACCTTTTCCTCGATATCTTCAGGATCTTTTCCTGCGTTTGCAACATCTAAATCCAGCAGTCCATCTTTCATAAGGACTTGCTTTCCCTTCTCTTCCAACAAGGCCTTTGCATCTGGGTATTCTGTTAAAGCCTCCATTAGGTCGTCTTTAGACAGACAAAACAAATCTGAATAACCAATGCTTCTAATGTTAGCTGTTCTCCGATTTCCAGCTTTGCTACCTTTAATGTTAAGAATGCTAATCTCCCCAAAGTAGCTGCCATCACTTAGGACCACATATTGAGTAACTCCATCATCAGCAACCACCGCAAGTTTCCCTTCTTTGATGATGTACATTTCTCGCCCAATGTCACCTTTCCGACAGATATAATCTCCAGGACTGTACACCTGAGGCTGTAGTTTTAAGACTAGCTCAACCAGTAAGCCAGCTTCACAATCTGCAAAAATCTGGACTTTCTTTAAAGTTTCCAGATGAACATTGATGGCAATTTCTGCTCGTAATTTATCTGGGAGATACTTCAAGACTTTTCTTTCATCTACTGCCTTCTTATTTGTCCACAAATAATCAAACCACTTGATAACTCTGTTTTCTAAGTCTTTGCTCACATTCCGAAACTGCATGTACTGTTTTATAGCATCAATCCTTGCTTGAAATTCTTCCCTAGCAGCATTCATGTTGGAGATCATAGAACCAATATTACCAACAATGGTAGCAAAAATTAGTATACCAACTAAGAAGTCAACAACGACAAAGAAATACTCAGCATCTTTCACGGGAGGTGGTGTTTCACCAATAGTTGTCAAGGTCAGTGTTGACCAGTAAAGGCTGTAAAGATACTTTCTAGCCAGCCGGCCAAATTCAGGATGGCTAATATTGGGATAGACCCATGTGTCTGTTCCAAAGCCTATGGCTTTGGAGATTGAAAAATACATACATGCATTCCAGTGGATAATAATTATAATATACATGACAAGATTTGAAATTCTGAATATATTTGGGTAACTTGTTCTTGTTTCTGTTTGCTGGAAGAATTCAAACATACGTGATATTCTAAGTAATCTGTTTATTCGTATTTCTGGGTAGTTCAAGCCTAACATGAAGTAAAGTAGATCAGTTGGAATGATGGAAAGTACATCTAATTTAAATTGTACAGTTCCCTTATATTTTTTCTTGAGTTTAAGTTCTTCTTTCACCAACAAACCTTGTTCCAGGTAACCTGAAATAAAATGCAGAAATAACTTTGTGATACAATTTTGTTTTATTTTTACTGACATGGCAAAGGGCAAATATATATGATAATTTAGTAACTCCTTGGTAAACCAGTAAACTGTATTATCCTGCTAAATGCTGAGAATTTTATCATACAGTATTTCCAGTTCCACACCAAATCAGGAATCTAGAAGCAGGTAAATGACAGAATTTGGTAAATGGACACCTGTATTCACCCCCCCCCCAATGTTTTCATAATACTGTGAACTCCAATGGAACCATAACTGGGTGAAAATTCTGAACTATTCTGTTTTTCCTGTCACCAATACTACAGTGGTACCTTGGGTTACAGATGCTTCAGGTTACAGATGCTTCAGGTTACAAACTCCGCTAACCCAGAAATAGTATCTTGGGTTAAGAACTTTGCTTCAGGATGAGTGGCAGTGGGAGACCCCATTAGCTAAAGTGGTACCTCAGGTTAAGAACAGTTTCAAGTTAAGAACGGACCTCCAGAACGTTTTAAGTTCTTAACCCGAGTGTATCTGAAGAAGTGTGCATGCACATGAAAGCTCATACCAATAACAAACTTAGTGGGTCTCTAAGGTGCTACTGGAAGGATTTTTTTTATTTTGTTTCGACTATGGCAGACCAACGCAGCTACCTGCCTGTTTCTAGAACTACTGTATATAAAGAGACAGCCTCGAATTGGCTGGATAAGGCAATGTGGGATGTTACTATCAGAATATGATACATCAGTTCTGGTGGTGAAATAGGTGACTTTTTAAGCTGGGCCATTTTCCCACATAGACCACTTTCAAATGTCTTGCACAACCCTCCCTAAAGAAAGCTTACTAGGTTACCTTGTTCTTTGCTATTCATTTTAGCAAGGTAGTATACATAAAAAGTTACTGACACATATGATTTATCAGAGCATACCTTACCTGTCCTTGTACGTACAAACATGTCAGCAAACATAGAGAAATGTCTGATATATAGTCAAAATGAACCACATCTCTAGATGGTTGCTTTGAAGTTCATCAAAGCAGGCTCTGAGTAGAAAGAAAACAGAATTTCAAAATTTAGGATTTGAAAGTAAGCATTTTGGCAATGCAGGTCTTAAACTAGGGATAACGAACCTGTGCCGTCCCTCACCCTAATGTTGTTGAATTGCAACTTTCAAAATTCCCCAGCCAGCATGGCCCAGCATAAGGGATGATGGAAACTGTTGGCCAACAACATCTGGAGGGCTACAGTTTCCCTACCTCTGTCCTACACAAAAGAACAAAGTGCATTCGGGTGATCTATAGAAATCTACTTCCATCAGTATTAGACAATTCAATGGGACTGAGGGAAGACTCTCAGTTTATATTTCCCATGATTTGTACACAATGAGTGACCTTTTTACTTCACTCTTGTCCGGTGTTAAGCGCTTGTATATATTCCACTACAAACCCATACCATGCCAATGCAAAAGAACACTTCCCCAAAGTTTACGATGTTTTGCTCATTTGTGGTCTGAGCTTCTAGGGGAAATGGCAAAATGCAGCCAAGAAGAGGTTTAAAAATCAAATGAATCCCAACATTGGTTAAAGTAATATAAATGTCTCCCAACACAGGTCAAAGTAGCTGCGAGAACTAGTTGAAGGGTATCCTTTGTATCTTGATCTGCTTGCTCATCAGTGCTTAGGTTTAAAATAACCAAATTATGATATGCTGATGGAATGGATGGCAGAGCAATCGCATCATCTTTTCGCTGTCCGCCTGGCTCAAATCAAAATTCTCTCATCCCATATGCAGCTGAGGCTAAATCAAATTTAGGGCAACACTCATTACACAAAGAAGCTCTGCATCTAAATTTATCACACTATGGTCCAGCAAATCATCAACATTTGTATACATTTTCCGAATGTCCAAAGCTCTTTGCTTACATTATATCTGCAATCATTACAGACAAGTAAGCACTGCTTTCTCCACACTGCAATAAGTGAGGGGAGAAATGGCACCGATGTTTATTGTGGCCTGCCTAAGTTTCAAGTCGGATGTAACCTTTTGAGCTGAGGACTTCCTTGTTCACAGCTCAGATTAGCCAAGCACATTAGTTAGCTGCTGAACCATCTAATGGCTTCCCCCTTTAGACACTTCAGAATTGTTTTACTATTGAAAGGGTCTTGCTTCCTTTCATTTCTCCGTTTAAGATAAAGCAAAATACCTAATATAGATCAATATGCTGCAGCGCTGTGTCGTTTTAAAGTACCTAGCAATGATCATTATCCAATTGTACATGACAGGCAGAGTGATGCAAAACAGCCAGTTGTAATACAAGTTTCCCGAGGGATCAATAACAAATACCTCTTTCTTCTCCCTAAACAGCAAGCAGAAGGAAATTAATATATTAAGAAGCAAGTGGTACATAACAGCCATAATAAATGAAAGCCAGCAGCATTTTCCTATTGATTTTAAGGAGTTTACTGAAACATATGCTGTAGTCTAGTACACACTTCTCTGAGAGTAAATCGGACTTACTTCTTGGCGGACAGGCATAACTACACTATTAAAAGTACTTAACTTTGGATGGATCATCATGCTTTCTCCAAATCAGGGGTGACAAATCTTTTTCAGACCAACGGCCAGATTCTTTAGTGGGCAAATGTCTTGGGCTGGCTGGATGCAGAGGAATGGTGAGGGGGCACCAGCTGGTGAACCCCCAGAGAAAGCAGGCGCAGAGCCAGGGGATTGGTGGTGGGACAACGATGCATTGTCAGAGGGAGAAGAGGGAGCAGACTGGGAGAAGGAGGTGCTGGAAGCTGAAGAGGCAACAGGGTCAAGTGAAAAATAGTATGGTGACTTCCTATGGTAGCCCATAAGCTTGCCATTGGCCCAGCCCACATTTTCCTAGCTAGCAAGGGAAGCTGACACATTTCCTTCCAGATGTTGTGAACTACAAGTCTCATCAGTTCCAACCAGTATGACCAACAGTCATGGATGATGGGAGTTGTAGTCCACAGCATCTGGAGGGCACCCTATTGGCTACCTGTGCTATATAGTAGTGTCACTAGTGCACTGTGAGGCCCAGCCAAGTGAAAATTATAACGTATTTTCAGCTCTGAAAAACACTTACTCCTCTTCCTTATTTTTCTTCTCAGCTTTATCTTTCTGTCTCTCTTGGCTGTCCTTATTTTCCTTGGCCACTGTGTCCTGTTCTTTTTCCTTTTCGCCATCAGATTTGCTGAAAGATTGATGGAAATTATATGACTTTTACAATAAAAGTAGAACCATCCCTTCAGAAAAGTCTTATTACATATCACAGTGCATATTTAATTCTCTTACCTTTCCCCCCATTTCTTTACAACCTTTACAATCAATTGTGGAATACATTTTAAAAACTGATATTGCCACTATTATTGTAACGGGGGAGGGGAAATAGGTGTGTTGTTGGCATATAGGAGATTTGCTGCTGCAACCATATTAAAAAGTAACATTTATTTTTTGGATGGGTGGAGTGTAGGAAGAAACAACAGAACTATCAGGCTCGCCTAGTTGCCATGCAGGTTTCAGTTTATACTCAACGATGGCCAATTTCCCCACATTAAAAAAAAAAAAATTAGCCATTCCCTAGATCTGTCCCCAGATGTTTCACTTGGCATTCTCTTGGCCTAGTAAAGACATTTCTTGTTAAACTCTGATGAGTTCCACTATTTGTTGTTGTTGTTTAGTCGTTTAGTCGTGTCCGACTCTTCGTGACCCCATGGACCAGAGCACGCCAGGCACTCCTGTCTTCCACTGCCTCCCGCAGTTTGGTCAGACTCATGCTGGTAGCTTCGAGAACACTATCCAACCATCTCGTCCTCTGTCGTCCCCTTCTCCTTGTGCCCTCCATCTTTCCCAACATCAGGGTCTTTTCCAGGGAGTCTTCTCTTCTCATGAGGTGGCCAAAGAATTGGAGCCTCAGCTTCAGGATCTGTCCTTCCAGTGAGCACTCAGGGCTGATTTCCTTAAGAATGGAGAGGTTTGATCTTCTTGCAGTCCATGGGACTCTCAAGAGTCTCCTCTAACACCAGAATTCAAAAGTAAAGACATTTCTTGTTAAACTCTGATGAGTTCCACTATAGTAACCAGCAATAATGGCTGAAGCAAATGGGCAAGGCAGAACCCTGTAAATACAAATGCTATTCCTTCCTCAAACTGATTTGCTCCTTCTGTAGGCAGGTGTCATGTATATGGTTCTCCCAATGGTCTGTTTTAACCTATGGCAAATTATACTGTATGTACTCTATAAAGCAGCAGTTGGCAGCATTTATCCAGCCGTCCTGCAGATGGCAGCAAGGTCTCAGCTGTTTTTAACAACTAGTGCTCTGCACTAGTATAAAAATTAAAAACACCTTTCATCTACACAGCTATGCGAAAAAGCGAAGGTCATTTGTTTATGAAAAGCTATACGCTTTGCACGTCGATCCAAATCCATTAAAATCAACCAAAATTTGCCATTTACTTTGATGGGACGGAAACGGTATTGTTTTCAAGGGAATTTTCAATCTACATAATTGGATGTAGGTAGACGGGGTCAGTGCTCCTCGTGCATGGAAGCTTTTTTGCAGCATTCACACAATGCAGCTATCTAAATGCCAGCACATATTCACACACACACACACACACACACACACACACACACACAGTTTAACCCAGACTTTCCATTTCTGTAGGAAATCCAGTTACAAAAAGCCTGACGGCAACAACCCATTTATGATATCTCTGTACGCCTTTTGCAACAGGGTGCTTCTAGGCACTCCTTCTCAGTGTTGGATTGGGGAAGGGACTTAGCTCAGTAACAGAACACCCAATTGCATGCAGTAGGTCGCAGTGTGGTGTAGTGGTTAGAGCGTCGGACTAAGACCTGGAAAGCCAGGGTTCAAATCCCCGCTCTGCCCAGAAAGCTCACTGAGTAACATTGGGCCAGTCACTGCCTCTCAGCCTAACCTACTCTCACAAGATTGTTGTGGGGATAAAATGGGGAGGAGTTTAGGGATGTAAAAAAATAGTTTTATAAATGGTGTGTCTTCGTTTCTCAATTTGACCCTTTTACAGGGTTTTGTATGTACTGAGGTATTTTATGCTTTGTGACTCGCAGTTACTTTTATCGATCATAGTTTAGTAATTATTTATTGTCATTGCTAAGAGTGAATTTCAGCTCAATTGTTATTTGCTGATGTTTGGAGAGTTAAATTTATTGTGTACAGTGGTACCTCTGGTTACGTACCTAATTCGTTCCGTAAAGGTAAAGGGACCCCTGACCGTTAGGTCCAGTCGTGGCTGACTCTGGGGTTGCGGTGCTCATCTCGCTTTATTGGCCGAGCTTCCGGGTCCTGTGGCCAGCATGACTAAGCCACTTCTGGCGAACCAGAGCAGCACACGGAAACGCCGCTTTATCTACTTGCACTTTGACGTGCTTTCGAACTGCTAGGTTGGCAGGAGCTGGGACTGAGCAACGGGAGCTCACCCCGTCGCGGGGATTCGAACCGCCGACCTTCTGATCGGCAAGCCCTAGGCTCTATAGTTTAACCCACAGCGCCACCCGTGTCCCTAAAACTTCTGCTAGTAAGGTAAAAAAGGTAAAGGACCTCTGGATGTTTAAGTCCAGTCAAATACGACTGTGGGGTTGCGGTGCTCATCTTGCTTTCAGGCCAAGGGAGCCAGCGTTTGTCCACAGACAATTTTCTGGGTCATGTGGCCAGCATGACAAAACTGCTTCTGGAGCAACAGGACACTGTGATAGAAACCAGAGCACACGGAAACGCCGTTTACCTTCCCACCACAGTTGTACCAGTTTATCTACTCGCACTGGCATGCTTTTGAACTGCTACGTACATTGGCAGGAGCTGGGCCCGAACAACCCATCTCAGGGATTCAAACCGCTGACCTTCTCATCAGCCGGCCAAAGAGGCTCAGTGGTTTAGACTACAGCGCCACCCGCATCCTATCTGCTAGTAAGTATACATCTGAGGAAGATATACTCCGTATAGGCAGTTTCCCAAGTTCTTATTGGTGTTGTGTCAACAAGACAAGAAGAGTCACAAAACTAAAGAGTGTTTTCAGCAATCATACAGCCACAATTAAAGGATGTTCGATATATAAGGTGGCATGGCATGGCCTAGCCAAATAAAAAACAAAGTTTAGCTGACATTGAACCATTATAAGCCCTCCTAATTTCAGTTGCTGGATTGTGCCCCATGTAAGAAAGGCTGCAATCCTAAACACAATAGGAAGTATATTTCACTGAGCGTAATGGGACTTAGTGGCTAAATATGTTTTGGATTGCATTGCTTGTAGGTAAGTACACATTTAACTAAATTGCGACAGTAAAATGTGATAGCAATATTAGCGAAGGACTTAAGAAGGCAGGTCATTCACATGCAGATCCTCCACAAAAAAATTAAAAACCAGTCAACTGGTTCACACTACTCACCTGCTTTCACCATTTTCCACTCCTTTCGTACTTTTGTTTTCGCCCTGGATAGGCAAGCTGTGGGCATCTGAATGTGAGTGATGGGTTTTGATCGCCTCTTTGGTCTTTGTGGTCATAATTGAAAGGTATTATCTGGGAGAGGACTGCAAAATGGATCCAATATTGAAATTCAGACATTAAAACAAAGCTTGATTTTAATCTGCATAGGCACGATCCGGAGAAAAGAAACCATGTCTCATTGATTTCAAACACCCTCCCCTTGAAACCAATGGGATTTAAAAGAGTTTGTGAGGTTGCATCATGACTGGTTTATTTAGAGTGAATAACAGAAAAATAATCAGAAAATAGAAAGAAAAGGGACTTATGCGTATGATCCAGCCAAATCTAAGCATGCATAAATCCTATTGATTGCTATAGTTTAGTGAAATACATGCTTAACTCTCCCTCACCCCCTGAAATCAGTTGGAAAGTGTGCTTCTGTTTACTTGGATCAAACCAATTTGATCACTGATCTGGTTTCTCTACAACTAATCATTATGCATCTTGAAAAGAAAACAAAAATTTCTCACAGTATAGACATAGTGATTGCTTCACAATGATCAATGGCCTCAGAGAGGGCTTCTTTTTTTTTGCACGATATATTGCAAAATAAACGCACATTGTTTCTTATTTTGTAATGCATAGTTTGCACGTGTTCCTTCCAGGAAGTTGCCAACTTCAGCAAAACGGCATTTCAATATTGCCCACTCCTTGAATTCCATGTAGCATTCCCAGGCAAACTTACATCGACTAATAACCCACCACCACTTTCATTTGTGACTTTTAAACAAAACTGAGAAATGTAAATATCACATACCAACCTCATTCTATTCATTCCATGTGCTGCAGTAAATCCTGAATGGTAATGAAATTCTTCGCTTTCTAAGGAAAGTGTATATCTAGAACAAAACGAAGAGGAGGGGAAGGAGGGAATAAAGTAACTCTAGTGAAGAGGATGCCAGCAATACAGTTGCAATAAGATGGTATTACAGCGCCTGCGTGTGCTCACCTTGGAAACGTAATCTGCTGTTCTGTGTAATGAAAGCAATCCCTTAAATCGCCTCACTCTAGCAGCCATAGCCATAATGAAAATCCAAAATGAAGCCTGGAACAAATTACCCTTTTGAAGTGCAATACGTACTTTCAAAATATGCAATATACTGTATTTTTCCGTGTATAAGATGTCCCCATGTATAAGACGCCACCTATTTTGGGGGACTCCAAATTAAGAAAACACCCCTCAGCACTACCCATGTATAAGACGAGCCCCAATATTAAACCTAATTTTTTGGTTAAAAAAAACCACCTAGTCGTATACACGGAAAAATATGGTAAGTAGCAACATTCCAAGGGCAGAACACAAACACCTGGTAAAACATATTTGACCCCATTGTTGATTGAGATTTTGAGCTAGAAAAAAACGATAAGCACCTTTATTTATAGCTGTCACTCACCCCCCCCACCCCCCAGGCACTCTGTATGTCTAGCAGTTGTGTCAGGCAGAAATTCAACACGTTCAGCTGTTTTCCCATTGGGAGTCGGAAAGAGAACTCCACCTGCAGTTTTCTGTATGCTATACAACTTTCAGGGACACAGAGGATTTTAACCAATGCTATTCCAACTCGGAGCAGACCCACTGAAATTAATAACCATTTCATTAATTTTCCATTAGTTTCATTGAGTCTACTCTGAGCAGGATTAGCACTGGTTACAAACCATAGTGTCCATCAAGAAAATGATAACAACCTAGCATCAGCTTAGGAATATTAATAATATGAATATTACGCATGGGCATTGAGAAAGACTAAGGTTCTTAGGACGGTCTCAAGTGACAGCTATCATCCATCTCTGGGTATCATATCAGCTCCGATTTGTGCTTCAATGGTCAATAAGGGTACAGAACAGTAAGGATACAAAATAGGACTTTGCCCACTTGGTTCTGTTGGATATTCTCTCATCATTTGTTCTATAAACAGAGAAGAACAGAGAAGAAGTTTCAAAAAGAAGCAGAAGGCTGATTGTTTTGTCTGTGCAAGGACATTTTCTCTGGGAACTGTTCTTTGGACATGTGCAATATGACAGGAAGTACTGATAACAATGGTTCTGTGTAACTTGTTGTAACTTGTTGTGAGTCTCTTGCTTGCATCTTGTGGTGAGGGAAGCAGAGAGAGTGTCTTGGACTCTTGTTAGACTCTCAGCCTGCCTTGACCATGGCAGTGGTGAATGTCTGTATATATTTGCTACCAATATGCTATTATGTCCATCAAGTAAATCCCTACACTTGACTGAATCTGTGTGTACCTTCAACCCTGAAGATGCTTCCAAGGAAGGAGATATGTTGAGATGTAACTCTACTGAGTATGGATACTGGCACACACACGCAGCGAAAGTGATGCTGGACCCAGTCCTTCTAAATCATCCATCAGAGGTTGATGGATTGACCAAACATGTTCAACCACCCTTTGGGTCACTCTATCCAGGAAACAGAGGCCAGCCCATACCTTGTTTAGCTTCCACCGGCAGCTAAAGACTTATTCTCCAAAGTATCTGTAAGTTAGTGCTGTTTTATATTATGTTTTTCTATCATTGTTATTTGGCTTTTTAAAAACAAGGTATCATCACTCTTGAGTTCTCTTGGAACAGAGCTGGACTCAGAAACTTTATAGGGCCGGCGGACTGGCCGGTTGGGCTCCCATGCCCGCTTGCTTACTTACTGTGATGCTACCTCAGCTCCTGGAAACCAGCACCCCCAGGCCAGCCCCAGAGGCATTGTTTGCTTGAGGAGTTTGTAGCCAGGGCTGCTGCAACAAACAGCTGTGCAAGCCTTTGGGAGGCAGAGATGTGAAAGGGCATCAGAGGTGGGAAGGGAAGAGGGACAGAGGCCAGTGTTGCCCACAGCACCCATGACCATCATTCAAGGCACCCCAGGGTGCCATGGCACTCTGCTTGAAAACCACTGCTGTACATCTTTCTTTTGAAGCACCTGACTCAATGTAAGATTGGGGTACTTATCCCTTTGGATGTGACTCCTACCTGGAGTCACAGTAGTAGCCTCTGAAAAGCCAATTCTTTGTAGTTTACTCTCATATTGCCTCTGTAATGAATGAGTCTCCAATTCACATGTGATTTCACTGAACACATCATTCTTTCCCACAGCAGCACCTGGTAGAGCATATGCGTGCATACACAAACACATGTATCAGCCGTAGTGGGGAAGGAAATGTGGTGATCAGTGGCACCCCCTCACAGGAGTGTGAGCTATGAGCGTCAGTGTTTGTGTTACTCTGAATATAACATCCACATGCCTTTGGCAGAGGCGTCCAGGACAAGGAAAATAAAACTTCCAGGACTAGTCAACATCTCTGCAAAAAAAATTAAAATTAAATGCTCCCCGACCCGCCATGCACACATCATGAAGCTTGTAATCTTGGATGAACTGGAGAAGGATAGCAGCAGCAGATTTTTATTTTTATTTAAAGCTATCTTTAATCTCTTCTTACATCTCGCTTAGTCAGGTCTTTTCTAATTCCTCTAAATCTCATTAAGGCTGCCACCATTCAGAAGCTTCTAGGCAGAACTAGGAGGCAGAACTCCAAATTGTTCTGTGCTCCTGGACAGATCCTAAATGTTTTGACGTTTGACTTAGAACAATTCCTAAAGGTATTGAAGGGGTGTAATTGTAATTGTAGGAAACGCCTTTATTCCACACACTCCTTACGCCTGATCATTAATTAAATGTCCATGTGTACAACCAACAATAAACCATTGCTTTTCTTTTAAATATTCTTTATCCATTTTCATCTCGTATAGCCCAACAAATACATCTCAATATAAAATACTCCAAAAGGGGGGGGGAATGGAGCAGGAGAAATTGGATGAGAGTGCTGGATGATGGAGAACAGCTGGATAATATCTGGGAGTGCTGAGCTTTGCAGTAGGGAGTGGCTGAGTGGATGGAAAAAGACCTCCCAGCCCTAATGTCCCAGCAGAGGAGGGATTGCTACCTCAACCAGGCCCTGCTCCCTATTAGTGTGATCTCCCTAGCAACCAGGGAAGCATAGAATCCTAGAACCATAGAGTTGGGAAGGACCACGAGGACCATCTAGTCCAGGGTTTCCCAAACTTAGATCTCCAGCTGTTTTCAGACTACAATGCCCATCATCCCTGACCACTGGTCCTGCTAGCTATGGATGATGGGAGTTGTAGTCCAAAAACAGCTGGAGACCCAAATCTGGGAAACCCTGATCTAGTCCTACTCATAGGATAATGAGCTGGTTGGACAGATTCTACCCTGGTTGACAAGTGTGCCAGCACAAATAGTCCCAACCTACATGCAGGTAGGTTGTCAGGTCCCATCACTCAGTACACAAACTGCACAAATGACTGTGCCTGCTTCCCTCTTCCAAAGAGGATGCAAATGGTGTGCACCAGGTGTTGTCTTAGTATGGGGCCTAGTCAAGTACCGGAGAGCTCTGCTTTGAATGTTTGAACTTTGTAACCTGTTCTATGTTTAGGCCGTGTAATGATTTGGAGGATAAAACCTTTGGTAACAATTGAGCAGGGTCTGAGTACTGCATCTCAGAGTGGGAGCTAAGACACCCTAATACAGTGGTACCTCGGGTTAAGAACTTAATTCGTTCCGGAGGTCCGTTCTTAAAACTGTTCTTAACCAGAGGTACCACTTTAGCTAATGGGACTCCTGCTGCCGTGCGATTTCTGTTCTCATCCTGAAGCAAATTTCTTAACCCAAGGTACTATTTCTGGGTTAGCGGAGTCTGTAACCTGAAGCGTCTGTAACCTGAGGTACCACTGTACAAACCACCAGAGCAACTGACCCCAAAGAGGTGTTGCGGATGTCAGTAACAAATATGTGAGGCAAAAGACAATGGGTTATGCAGTTTTTTTCCTAAATACCACACAGAGATGACTTGAGCTTGCCAATCAAAATTCTAGGCCAGAAGTTATACCATGGCAAACATGCAGTTCAGCACAGAACTTCATCGGTTTGTTTGTCTCAAAGGATTGAGCAGCAGACTTCATGGACGTAGCCGTGGGGGCAGCTGCCCCCCATTTAAAAAATCAGTAAAAATATATAGCTGAGGTTCTGCGCCCCCCTAAAAAAGGGTCTGCCTCTCCAACAACAAAAAATGGCAGACTTTAGATAACGCAGGTGCTGGCACTCATGAGTTCATCTCCAATTACCAGAAAAAAAGAACATTTTCTCTGAGGCCAGCTTTTTACCCAGAGGGCTGGGCACAGGAACAATTTTCTTGCAACAGGAAAACCATTTTCTTGACAGACACTGTTCCAGAAATACTGAGCCAGAGGACTGAACCATCACATACTGGGACAGAAAATGAGACATTTCTAAACTTGCTTCCTTGTCCATCGGAGCTCAGCTTGGGTCTCTTGAAGAAGAAATGGAAGAGTTTATGCTAACTTGTTCAGACTAGATGTTCTTTTTTTCCTGTTGGACATCAGAACTGCCACTTGTAAAAGGGGAAAATATCTAATGCTTCCTTGTGATATTCCAAGTTAGTCAAATCTTTCAAACACCAGAAAGAAGCCTATAGAAGTTCCGTCTAGAAGTTCCCTCCCTTCTGAACCCAGATCTTGCTCCTCACCTCCACCATGAAGCTGACCACAATTAGGGCTGCCAGCTCTGGCTGAGAAAATTCCTGGAGAGGTTTTTGAGCGGACATCAAAATTCTACATGTTACTTTACCCCTCTCAATGCTGGTTAGAATTCACAGGCCCAGTTCCACCTCTTCAACTCCCCTTTAAACTAATAAACCTCAGGGAGAGGGATGGGTCTCTCTAGGCAACCACCCATTTCAGCCACCCTCCTAAGTATTCTCCCTCCCTGAGGCTAGTGGCCAGCATGACACATTCATCCTGATGTACTGGGAAATACAGTAAATGTGAAGTTTTTACCTTAAAGCCAAATTGGCTTGCTCTTGGTTTCCTTCCAGCTGAGTTGAGCAGCAGCAACAGCAGGAGAGGGCTTTTGACTTCCTGCTCTGCTAGGGGCTCCCTGCAGTGGTTTGCTATAGCATCCAGTAAGATGCGATAGCATTTTCTGTTTCTCTCTCTGACAGCATCTGGAACAAGGAACTGTCAATACAGGCAAAAGTGCCTATGTTTTTTAAAAGCTACTTGACAGAACAATGGGCTGCTGCTGCTGCTGCGAGGGAAGGAAAACAATCCTCCCTTGTTACAATCACATTAAAATCAAGCATTCTGTTTTA